TTTCAATTGGCAAAAAAAAAAAAAAAAAAATCTTATTTCTTTCTTTTGATTTTAAGAGGAAATATGACCTGGAAATGTTCTTGACCGGTTACGTGAAACTCACACACAATTTCTCTTGCTTTATTTCGTAATCATCTACAGCTTTAATGTCCATAATGACACTTTATTATCCAAAATACAGTCCTCTAAATTGCAGTTGTGCTTTTAGAGATGTGGACGCACTGAATAAAAAAGCATGCGATTATCCAATTATGATAACGTTGTGTGTATTTTTCAAGTACACAAGCTGGTCTTATCAGAGAAGAGCAATGTGACCTAGTTTTAAATCTCACAGCTGATTGTGTGTGTGTGTATGGGAAGGTATTGTGTGATTCTGAGATGCTGCTACTCTGAGAGGTATGTGTGTGTGTGTGTGTGTGTGTGTTATATCTCTAGAGACAGCTTTGGGCTCATCTGTCCTGCAATAAGACACTACACAGACCTCCCAAAAGAGTCCGGACCCATCTGGAGCGTCTTAGAAGCACACATGACACACAAACTCATTGAGATGTTCAGCTGGGGGTCCCACTATCTGCAGGACTCGAACCACAGTCTGTTTTCAAGAGAATTAACTGTCAATCAACACGCCACCGGTTGCCGTGGCAACAGAAATATGACCCCCCCCGAGCGGTGAGGAGCTTGTGGGTAAAACGAGAAGAGCAGAGATAAAGAGAGAGAGAGAGAGAGAGACTCACGATCTGTGGATGCTGCAGTTGTAGAAGGTGAAATCCACACTGGCAAATTTCTGCCCCGTTTCCCTCGATTTCAGATAGAGCTTCACCACATGAGTGTCTCCTTCAGAGAGACAAATAAAAGAAAAAAAAGAGGTTAATAAGATCTGCCTCTGGATGAAGAACAGCAGAAACAGCTGCTATCTAAACACTCGTGTGTCAGGAGTTTTTGCACTTAACTGTGATAAAATCACTGAAACCTTGAGTGGCTTTCTGCTTTTATAACACCACAGACAATGTAGTGCATTAGTGTGCTTGTGCATTAATATAGACACCGTTTTATGTCATAACTACATAAAACGGTTTGGAATGTAGCAAATTTTTGATTCATGATACTAAACACTTATAGCGTTTAATAAAGTCTACGGCTCCATCCTAATTCATAATCTTCTACTATAAGCATGTACTTATTAGTATTGGACACACAGCATCATAAAATTGTGTTTTGAAACCACAGATCTGTGTATGTTTGTCTATATAGTTTTTTAAAATATATATATAGTTTTACTTTTAGTTGATTCAGTACATCAAGGTAAACTAAATGAACATGAGAAATGTTTGTTTTGGCAACTGAAATTAAATAAGATAAAGTTTTTAAATATTGTATTTAATTTAATTTAATGTTTTATTACAAGTAAGACAAATGTTCTTTTACGGTTTTTGTTTAAGTTTACTATAATAACCCTGCTGTTCACTACCCCGGCACCTTCAGCATATTGTATTTGTATTAACATACTAATATTTGAGACTCTGAAATGGAGCAATTTTGATTCCTCTTAATTAATTTTTTTTCCTTTTCACAAAATGTTAATTTTTTTCTCAGACAATCAAAAAGCATGAAACATCAATGGCAAACAGCTTTGATGCAGCACTTCAATTATGCAGAAACTAGACGGGTCAAAATCAGCATATTCAGTAACAGAATGCACATTTTTCAAAACCATTAATGCAACCAAACCTTACACAAACCACTCAGTTTCAGTATTTTTCCTTAATGCAACCTGATCTAAATAAGAGCCGCTTCTCAATCCCCAATCCTATTTGGGACACAATAAACCCTCAAACTACACAGGACAGATATGATGATAACCACTGACTGAATCTGAGGAACAAACTGAAGGTGTTAAACTGTATAATAACCATCAAACCCACTATCAGTCAAAAGCTTGATGATCTTCAAGACTTTGAGATCTAGACCGGAAGCTTCTAGTGAGCGCTAGTGTGTATGATTTAGCAGTGTGTGTTTACTGACTCTGCTGGCGTGTGATGGGGATGAGCTCTTTGGCTGACGGCGAGAGGCAGTAGATCCGTGATCCGTGTATTGTTCCTTCAGTCTCGGTGTAATCCTCAAAGGAACAGTCCACCCCTGCGGAAAGATCCGGGACGTTGCGGGCCTGCAGGACCAGCTGCCAGATCAATGGAGAAAACAGACAAAGTGAAAAAGCTTGGCCCACGTCCCCATAATTCATCTGCTTGTTTTTAAAATACACTCTACACGACATCTGCTGCTCCATATTGCTGCGTGTCTGCTAGCGCTCCACATAGTGTACCACTCCTCAACATCTATGGAGAGGTGACCGATACGCAGTGCTGTGCATGTCACATCTACTCTAATTCACACACAAACACATATACACACACACACACACGCACACTCACGCACTCTCACACACACACACGCACTCACACACACACACACGCACTCACACACACACACACGCACTCACACACACACACACGCACTCACACACACACAC